TCAAGCCACCAGAGAAGTCTTACCTCAACCAAGGATGAGCGACTGACTACAGACTGAGTCCTGAACCTCTCCTCCTGTCTTATATTGCCTTTTAGTGCTGGGATAAAAGTCATGTGACTCCCTGGTACTGGGATTAAAAGTGTGAGCCACCACCACCTGGATCTGTTTTTGCATTGATCTTGTGTAGCCCAGGATGGTACTGAACTCACAGAGATCCATCTGCTTCTGTCTCTCAAATCCTGAGATTAAAGGTGTATGCCTGGCCTCTAGTGGTTTAGTTTTACCCTCTGATTTTCAGGCAAGCTTTATTTATTAAAACATAAATATCACTATAAGGATACATGCTATAAAGAGGTTCTCCACTTCAACCATATTTTAACTAGTCTCCTACTCTGAGTTTACATTTTAAAGAAATTAGCTTTCTCAAGATAGTTCCATGACCATGAGGAAATGACAAGATTCTGGCGACAAGACAGCAGAGAAGAACCGAGGGAATCCCAGAGGTGCAGGACAAATAGAGGAAAGGGAGAGGAAGAAGGGCAGAAGCATGTGACAGGGCTTGGAAGACCTTGAAACTTATCTTGCTGGGAAAAATACTCACAGCTGATGAAATCCGACTGCTGCATCCTCCCTCACCCCACACTATTAAATAGCAGCCTCAAGAAGAATATCCACGTTATTGTCTGCATCTGCATTCATCTTAGCTCTAGGGTAAGACATTGCTGTGTCCAGCAAATACTGCCTTGCTTCAGATAACTACTGCCTCTGGCTCTGACAACCTTCACACCCTGTCTTCAAAAATGATCACTGAACTTAAAGGAGAACAAGTGATGTGGGATTCCCCTCTGTATGCTGTGAATATGTTTTACTGACATTGGTTAATAAAGAAGTTCCTTTGGCCTATAGCAGGGCTGAATATAGCCAGATGGGAATTTAAGATGTAAGAGCTAGCTAGGAATATGCCTGAGTCATAGGCCAAGCAGAGTTGTAATTAATATAATTCCTGTGTGATTATTTGAGTCTGGGAGGTTGGGAAACAAAGCACAGCCTCCATTTACAAACAAGGAAAAGGAGACCTTATGAAATGGATACTGTTCAACTACATTTTACTGTAATCTTCTGTATCTTAGATTAAGACATAATGTATCCAGCAACACCTCTGATTTGTTACCACATGACCTTGGATATTTCAACATACATTGTCAACTCATCTAAAGACTGCAGTAACTCCCCCCGCCCCATGTCTATGGTCCTTACACTGCAGAGTGCCGGTGACATATCATGTTGACACAGCTTTCATCCTGCTCCAGACTTGACAGGTTCTTAGTATTACCCATCAAGCACGAGACTTTGAGTTGCTTTTCCATATCACCAAGTATCCTTTTGTTTTTGGCTTATAACCAATAAGAATGAATGTTGGACTTTATTAAGTGTTTTCAACATCTCTGGAAATATTTTTTTTGACTTATTTATATTAACTAATTACCAATAATTTATATGAATGTATTTCCAGTACTGAATTATCCTTGCATTCCTGAGATGGGTCTAAAGTATATTTCAAAAAGTGTTTCTGTATTCTATTTAATAAATCTTCATGTGGTTTCTTTAAATTTTTATTATGTTTAGGAGCCATTTGTATAGCACTGACTTACAACTTATTCTTAAATTCTTAAAACTTAGAATAGGAAGAAGAGGGAATTGATTTTTGATGAAATGAAACTATAGCTTATCTTCAGGAAGGTACAATCTGTTAAACGGAAGAGAGAAATGAACACATATTACACCTGCTATGGTCTGAATGTTGCATTTCCATCCCCACAAATTCTTATGACGAAACCTAATCTTCAATGTGGTGGTATTATGGGGCAATCTAGGAGAGCTCTACCCCCACTGGTGTGGCTAATCCCATCAGCAGGCCTGCGAGAACCTTTTCATTTCCTTCACAACGTAAGAACATACAGAACAAGCCATCTGTAAAGTAAAACGCTCCTGCTAGGTATCAGCTCTGCTGGTGCTCTCATCTTGATCATCTCAAACTCTAGTACTGAGAAATGCATGTCTTTTATTTGTAAATTACCCACTGTAACGTCTTCTGTTATAGTAACCCAAACCAGACAATGATACCAAATACTCATTAACGAAAGCAGTACATCCTAAGAATGTTTAAGAGGCAACACCACACACAGTATAGAGTCCATAAGAGTGCGTCACCCTAGACAGATAATGAAGGTATAACAGAAGAAGTGACATTTGGGCTCCGCCTTGAAGAGAGAAGCAGCAGAGTTCAGTGGCTGTGAGAGGTGTGCAGCCCTACCTTCCCAGGACGTTTGGATGGCCTCTGTGCCCACAGCTACACTCTCTAAACGTCCCAGTTTCCCCAGGACTAGGTCATCACTTAACTGCTCTCTGTCCCTGTGTATTTGCCCACTGTTGATACTTCATACAAGCACAGCCATATAATATGTGAAATTTTATGATTAGCTTCTTTCACTAGCATGCTTTCACGGTTCACCCACACATTTTACAGCATTTATCAATAGTTCCTTCCTTTATGGTCAAGTAACTAGTACAAAGATACACCACATTACGAAGTCCAGTAATCAGCTGATGGGCATTTGGGTTGCTGTCATCTTCTGACTATGGAAACATAGCCCCTTCTGTTCCGCTCAGCCACACAGCCAACTTGCCAGCACATTCTGTGAGAGCCATTTTCACCTTGCATCTGCATAAGTTCAGTCTCTTAAGAGGTCTTCTCACTCCTTGTCCCTCTCCATCCCCCGATGCAGTGTGCACTAACTTGAGTTAGATTACACCACTTCTCTGCTCCTAATCCTGTGATCACTTTCACTTCACTCTGAGCAAACTCGCAGACCTCACAACTGCGTATCCAGCTCTATTCATTACACTTATTACCACTACAACCTCGTTATCCTGCTTCCCCCACTCCTTTTGCTCCAGTCCTTCTGACTGGCTGCTCCTTCCAAAGATCAAGTGCACTGTCACCTCAGGGCCCTTTCCTGGAATGGGAAACTTTCCTGGAACTTAGATAGCTACAATCCCATCACTTCTTTCAAACCTGCTGTCACGTTCTCCACTCTTTGTACACCAACTGACAGTTTTCCCCATGGTTCTGAGGACTGAACCTCACACATCCTAGGCGAGTACTCTTCCAGTGAGCTCTATGCCCAGCTACCTAACAGTGTTTTAGATTGTGGCTCCATCTCTACTCCTGTTTACCTCGTCTCTTTGCAGCACGTCTCATCACCTAAAAGACTATGTATATATACATATATTTTTCCTTTCACAGACAGAAGCCTAAAGAGCACTGACTTCGTTCACACACCCCCCCCATTCAAAGCTACACCCCGCACAGCCACTATCAACACATCTGCCAAACTCTTCAGTCGCACAATCATCTATCCTGTTTTTGTAGGAACAGCTCCTAAAAAGTCCTGAGGGGTTTCTTCCAGTGTAGATTCCCTAGAAGGATTATATTTTACCTTGAAAGAAAAAAACTGTGCTTAATCTTGTCAACCACAAGGAGGAGTTGAGAGAGAGCGAGCGCGCGCGCGCGCTGAGCAAAGAGAACTCAGGTAATCTTTTCCCTTGCTTTTCCTCCTCTAACCTCAAGGGGGAAGAGAGCTGGATCTGGAACCGGCTATAATAAATGAATGGTTTTTTTCCTCCGCATTATGAGTTACCTAGACACACACGTCAACAGTAAAGATTACAACCCTTTCCTAGGACAAAGGAATCGAGGTCTGGGAGTGTTTTATTTCCCGATGACTTATAGTTCACGAATCATGGAAAGAGTTCCCATCAACACAGACACATAACTTACCGATGGCATTCCAGGTCCACAATTCTATTTAATACTAAGTCTCTACCATTAAGCAATGACCACATCTACGATTCTTAAACGATGTAAGCAATTCGGTCCCTGGACTAAAAAACCAAATCTCAGATCTGCTAGTAACTCATCAAGCCCCGATTCGTGTACACCGCGATCAGTTTCCCCAGCGCTCTTGGACTCACCGCCACCTGTTGATGCCCACGTTGGAAGAGCCGGCGAACCAGGGGTCGAGGATGTAGACGCAGCGGATGGTATCGGCGCCCTGGATGCACTCCTTCAGGGCGGGGTTGTCGTGAAGCCGGAGTCCCTTTCGGAACCAGTGCACGGCGTTCACCCCCATGCCGGGGGCGAGATGTGGGCGCGGAGGGTCACCCCGACTTCCTCTACCGAGAGCTTCAAGGGAGAGAAGCCGGGCTCATAACCGACACCTGCGCTTCCAGGAGAACCTCCGCACACGAGGAGCGGGGAAGGGACGGCAGAGGGGGGACGGGAGGAGGCGGCGCCCAGGCCAGGCGCGGAGGCGGCGAGCGCGCAGCTGGCAGATGAATGGAGGCTGCCGAGGCGCTGTGGTCCACTGGCGACGTCCTTCAGGAGCCCGCGCCCACGGCCGGCGTCCGGAGGACACGCATACCTTCCAGGGCCTGCGACCCCCGGAGCGCAAGCGAGCGCGCGGGACTCGAGCCGCCACGACGGCCCGAGCTGGCCGCAGTCGCCCCTGGAGGCTCGTCACGGAGACCTCGC